TGAAGAACCAGCAGGACAGCGGCTGGGGCACATTGCTTTCCTGCACCCAGGGACACATTCCTTTGAGCACACTCAGGGTGCAGGTTCATCTCATCTCTTCTCTGCTGAGGCTCCTCCTGCTTCCACAGGGCTAGCCATGCTGCCCTGTGCCCTCATCCGGCCTGTCTCACTGCTCACAGGTGACCTATTTGCCCACAGGGTGACAGTTGAGCTGCACCCACATACAGGCACCCCACAGCTCCTCACACCCAGCAGGCTATTATAGTATCTGCCTTCCTTACACACCTGCACCCTCCCCAGGGATCTATGGATACCTCTCTGCCAATCTCTAAGGGAAACCTGCGGCACAGGGATGCTGAGCTCGCATGCCGCCACGAGTCCTGGGCCAAGCATTGCTCTGAGGATCCCCGGTCCCTTGCCCACTGCACTGAGACCAACCCGTGTACCATCACAGCTCCACATTTCTTCTTGTCCTCTCCTCCCCCAGCACTAGAGAGACCACCTGCAGCCAGCCTTGCCAGGATACTGAAAAGACGCACACACAGACATGCACACGCACACACACTTCCTTCCTACAGACTGAGGCTAGCACCAAGGCACTACAACACACCCAAAGGCGACAACATTCCCTGTCCCCATATTGATGAGAGGACACCACCACCACGAGCCCGGGCCCTTGCTCATGAGCTGTGTGGTTCAGTGAGGTCTGTGCTCCCTGGGTACTGCTCCTGGGACTGGTGCAGCTACTGCAGCTGCTCACTGCCCCACCACTCACCAGCTACCACCTTATGGCCAGAAACCCCTGGTCACTAAGGCATCTGGGACTGCCGGGCACAACACAGACCCATGCAGCCTCTTCTCTTACCATCATGCCACCACTGGTGCACTTGTGTGCAATACCTGCAGAGACTCAGATCCTTTCCACTCTTCCCGTCTGCATTAAGTGCCCCAGCCTTAAAGACCATGATAGTGTGGGTGACACTTTCCATGGGAAGTTTCCTCATTTCTCATCCTTTCACCTCACTCTAAGACTGAGAGACCTTCCCCAAGGAGGTCCTAGAGTTCCCTAATTCTGCTTCATCCCATCATCTCCTTCCACAGTTCCTTCATTCCCAGTGATGCCCAATCTGGTAGTTCCCAGGCTCAGGACTCTCCTGTGCTCCAGGCAGAGGGACACCCTGAAGTCCCCTTGGTGCCCTCAGCTGTCCCAAGACCCTGCACAGGAGGCCCTGAAAGTGCTCCGCTCCCTGCGAGGTCAGCCACTCACTTCCTTGGCACATGGCTCCTTCACTCCTTTGAGTACTGAGCTATACCACAGGCAAGGTGTGATCCATGTGCCTGGTCAGGCTCCCTTCATGATGCCCTAACTGGGCCACCCAGCTCACCAGCCAGACTGAGTTTCGGCTCCATTCAGCACTCCTCTTCCCATCACATCTTCCACTGGCTTGGACCTGTTTCACTAATGCCACCATTTCACCACAAAGATACAATTCCAGGCAAATATGTTCATTCCACTCCGGTTCTGCAGACAGCCACAGGTATTACCAGCTCCTGGCAGGACCCTTGCACCTACCGTGGGCTATGAACGCCCTCCTATATGGCCCATTCAAGCTGCTCTGATGTTTTGCCATTTGCCAGGACACCATGCGCTACCTCTAATTTTCTCCACTCAAATACAGGGGAATGCAGGAAACGTCTGCCATGTTGCCTTGCTTTTTACATCAGGGCCTCTCCCAATGGGATTGCACACTTAATCTTCACACTACACAGTGCCTGTCCCACTCACTTGCCTCTGTCACGCTTTCTGAGCAAAGTTCAAGCAGAGAATAGGAGGTCTCAGCCCAGACTCCAGGACAGCCTCAGCTTTGTAACGCTTTCCCTATGGCAGACAGCAAGCAACCTCTTCCTCTCTCTTGGCTTTGGTTGTGTAGCTGTGTTACTCTCAAGGTTTGATATTCCTCTGCTCCCTTGTGGCAACTCTCAAGACGGGTTTGCAGATCTGCACTGCTCTACACTTGCTGGGTAGGATGTCCTCACGTACAGGTATTGGTGCACAAACACCACCCAACCACAGCAGTGCCTGACCTAGCCCTGGGCAGAAGAGCCTTCACGGACGCATCTTCCCCTGGACAAGGCTTCACCAGACAGGCTGGACTGTGATGTGACCACTGCAGGTGTTCCTCAGGAGCCTCAAGGCACGCTCAGGGGTACTTCCTAGCATGAGATGCCTCACACCCTGCAACAAATAGCCCAGCAGCAAAACGTATATTTGGGCCCACAGTGCCAGGACAGCCAAGGCCATGGGCACCGTCTCCGACCAGACCTGACCTGCCAAAGCAATTCTACATCCCCGTGGCAGACATCACATGTGAGGGCCCTGCAAAAGGCACGGATTACACGACCAATTCACCCTTCCCCATTCCTACACCATAACCCCAGGCGTTTCCTGGTACCTTTGGTGGAGGCATTGTTCTGCGAGGATGATGAGGGTCTCCTCTGTGTGAGGAAAACACCAGGTGCCATCGGCTGTGATCCCCTGTTAGGCTGGGCGACCCCAAAGGTGCTGGCCCCTGCGGTGTACTCGTGATCTGTGAGGCTGCTGGCATGTGACTCCAGCTTCGGCTCTGGCGAGCTGCCTTCCTGAGCCGGTTTGTTCACGTTGTTGGTTGACAGCTTCTTTTTGGTATTTTTTTTCTTCTTGCCTTTTTGTTCCTCCTTTAAAATGACAAACATGAAGCTCAGATTAATCCCCAGAAGACCTTTAGCTATGGCAAGGGCCAGCGGCGTTGCTTAGGGTCCTGATACAACGAAAACCCATGAAGTTTGCCATGTACAAACTGCTCAGTGTCTGTTCCGATACCATCTCGCTCACAGCTCGCTCTGTTGCACGCACATGTTTGCCTTTCTTGTACCTATGTATATGCTTTGTGCAGAGCCTCCTTGTTTGTAAACTTTGCATACACTGCGGCGAGTGGGAGCCAGCCAGGACCAAAATGACCCTGCCTTGGGAGACCAGCGTGGTTTTGCATGAACAGGTCTTTCGATGTTCCACAAAAACTGGCACCTCCTATCTTCAGGTATCTTCATAAAACTTTCACAATAGCATGGAGAACATTAAACATCCCACTGATTCACAGACTCTGCTTCCTGCTAGGACACACACATTCTCTCTCGACCTGTAACTGCACTTACACATACATACCACAAGAACAGTGGTCTGTCACCAACCCGTTTCCCTTGCCTACTTTCAGTCCGCGTCTTGATGAAATCCTGCTACCATTCTCAGAACTCTTCTACTCAACAGCACAAATCACAGAAGCCCAATGCCACCAGAACCTGCATCTCCAGCAACTTGCCAAGGTGTCTCACCAACCTTGCTCCAGCAGACCTTGTCACCTTCGCACCTCATGCTGTCACATTTGTGGGGCCTATGTGTGTTAGGCGCTTAGCATCTATCTGACCTCTTCAGAGGCCAGACACTTATCAACACCCAAAGTGCCTCAGTATCTTTGCTAAACTGACCCATAGATACCCACGGTTCACCAAATCTTTGGAAGTAAATCCTTACGCTTCCCAGCAACCAGTTTCCACAGACAATACAATCACACCAGTCAGACTCTCAAATACATATCAATATGCAGTTCACGCACACTCCTTTTGGGCAGCCTCCTTCTGTCTTAGCCTGGTGGCTATGCTCACTAGCTCATACTGCTCTGCACTTCCAATGCATCGCCTGCTCTGCGCTGTGTTGTCGCCAGATACGTTGTGACACTATCGGACTTTCATCCCATTTCTTTCCCCTGACACTGCTGAGCCTTGTGTCACTGGCATGAATAAACACTGAGGAGGACTGGCACTGCACTGCTATTTGGGCATAACTCTGCAGCTGGGAGGAGAAGGCTTTCATTTTCTGACAGCTACTACTTCTCAAGCAATCTCACCTGCTGTGACAACTTCGCGGCAGCAGCGGCGAGTCCAGTTTCAATGGAGGCGACTCTCGTGCCCTCTCGCACCGGTCTGTCTTGTCGAGGCACCGAGGGGGCAACTCGTGCTAGAAGGAAAGCAGATGCAGGTCAGATGTGCAGAATGTGCCTGTGTGAGCAGCATAACCACACACTGGGCAGCGAAGCTCTGCCCTCCTGAGCAGGGAGGGCCAGGGATGCCATGGCCTCTGCCCTTCCTTCCCCGGGATGCATGTGAAGGCAGGAGGTGCCAACAGCCTCCAGTCACAGCGGCTTGGGGAGAAGCTGCCAATAAAGATGTAACACAGCTGAGCAACTTTGCTGGCAGCTGCAGCTACCTGAAGCCAAAGTCACAGGAGGGTTCTGCCTACACTACACATATGAGCGACTCCAGCATCGCTTCCAAAAGGACAGTGTTCACCACCCCATCAGCTGGGCATGGACATGCAGTGCCTCAAGCTGATGAGACATGGGCTGCTTGTCACACATACCCCAAGCTGCAGAGACTCCCCCGTTAGTGTGCCACATCAAAGGGGTCTAAGGACTCCCTGGCCTGTCACTGCCTTTGGTGAGCCGCAACAAAAACACCCTTCCAGACCACCAGCACTGGCTGAACCTGGAGGAGATTATTCCCATGCTCTCTCTCTCATTACTCTTTACACAGCCAACATCTAAAAGCCATGGCTACTCAGCTCTTGGGGATTTCACTGTTATACCACTGTTAAGGTGGCCACCAATTGTTCCATCACCAAGAGTGTGAAGAAAAATAAACTAACAACCCGATAAGGATTGACTTTTTCCTGCCAACTGATTGACAGAGGAAGGCTAAACTGCTCAGCATGAGTCCCAGTGCATGATATCACCTCCCACTGTGCTGGAAAGGATTAAACCTTCACATAATAAAGAAATTGCTAGTTGTGATCTTACAATTTCCACACTCCTTGAAAAATGGCTGGTTTTTTTAGGGACCTGCACAACTTAGCCTGAGTCTGGGCAGCACAGACCGTATGGACTTACCTGTTGGACTGTAAGGGGCATCATCTGAACTTTTCCTTTTCTTTGATCGGGATTTGAATACTGGATTATCTTCATCTGATTCAAGAGAAGGGTAAACTACAGTAGGAAACAAAGGCAATAGTTTCAGTGTAAGAAACAGCTCTACCCTGCACAGAGACTCATTTGCTCCATACAAGTGCGGTGACTACAGGCATCACTGCTAGAATAGCAAGGTCCCCCAGAAGTACCACTGAGTGGTGACACAGCTCAACACTCAGGGGACTTTCTCCCACCCTCATCTACACACACACTACATTTAGGAGCTGCTGTCATTGAACTGTGACCAGGTATTTTTCGGATACACAATGAAACTTCTCAGACAGGAAAAATCAGTCTTCCTCTTGTCTGTGGAGCAGCAGCACAGCTAGAAGAGACATGAACAGGTTGCCTTAACTCAAGCTAGACTGGTACTGAAAACACGTCAGCCAACCACTTCATTGAGCACCACACCTTCCTGGCCTTTACAACTCCCGCACAGTTGGGCAGAGACAAATGAGACACAGTGCGAGTATCCAAAAGATGAATGTGAACCATTCTACCAAAGGACCCTTCACAGGCCTCTGGGATGACATCAATTTATTCTTCTAAACTCTGTCCCAGCCTGTACTATGAAGTTTCTGTATTATTTTTTTTCATATGCATTTGATTTTCTTGATTTGTTACATCACTGGTGATTTTGGCATTACTGTGGCATTTGGCCATTGACACTAGAAGTCTGCTGATCTGACGTGACACAAACAGAGCTTCTGGAAAGCAAGCCTGCTCACCAAAAAGACTCTCCATTCACTGGCAGCACAGACACATAACAAGCAAATCCACCCCTCAGTAGAGCAGAGCCTTGTTCATGTGTGTCATCTGTCGGTAAACCACACCCCTGTCCAACAGCTTCATGGAGCTGCCCTTTCCCAAAGCACCCTCCAGCACTGCCACTGCCTCACAGTGCATGCAGTGCACTCTAAATGGCTGGACCACCTTCTGCAACATGTCACAGCATCTCCATTTTGCCTTGGCATCTCTGTTAATAATGTGAAAAGACACACTCCACTTCTCCAGTCATAACAAATGATTTCTGATGGCCATGCTTGCCAGGGAGACTTAAACCACACACATAGACTCTCTTGTTGTGCAGCATAAACCTCTATCAACTTCTTGCCCTCTTTGGGACTTTAGGCTTTCCAGTTCCTTTCAGTCTTCACGTTATTACTTTTCTTCATTTCCTCACTTCTTATACTCAAAAATGCTCCTGCAGATTATTTTGGTAGAACTGATGTAACTGGTGCAAACTGGCTTTGTGCCCATTTCTGCTTCAGATACTTGCATTCTCTGCCAACACTCAAAATACCACTGGATCCCTGTTCCAAGTACAAATTCAACTTCTCACTCGAAACCTATACATTTTATTGCTATTGTGCAGACAAGGACATTTCTGTCATAAGTACCATTACCTGACATGCATTTCTGGGACAGTTTCCTGTTTCTTGGCTGACTACTGCGGTTTCAGTGGGCTTCCATGCTTCTTAACATCTTCTGATTGTGACATGCCTCAAATACAGTCTACCTGGATGGCTGTACCACCACTGGCTCTGTGGTCAGTCTACCTATCATGCAGTGTTTGCTTAATTTTGCTGTGCAGACCTCTTGTTTTTGCACTCTTCCTCACCAAAATACCCAGTCGATTTCAATGTGACAGAAAGTGAGCAAGTGTATGGAGAAACATGGGGGGTGTTTGCAAACATGCACAAATATGTACATGCATACCCAGGCACACACTCACTCAGACTGCTTCATTTGTACTTACCGTAATCTGAATCTTTAAAACAGGCGTCTAAGTGGTCCTGATCTTCATCGTAATCTTCTATGTCAATACTGTTCTTTGTGCTTTTCTTTAGTAATCGCTTGCCGGCATTTTTGTTGCTGCCACCACCTGTTTTTTTAGAGTTTTGTGTGGAGATGGAGTTATTCTTTGCCTGATTGGTACCCCAGGACGTCTGGAGGCAGGACTCTGATGACTGGAGGTTTGCCATCGATAGCATGCCCTGGATTGCTTCTTGTGTGCTGGGTGAGGCAGGTGGCTGACTGCGGGGAAACATTGAGAAATACAAGTGCTATTATCGACTCCAGAAAAACACGAGCCCCTCACAAACAGTTGACTGCTTTCACTGCACAGTGTTGCTAGAAGAGATTTTCTGATTACTGCCTGTGGAGCAGCTGGGCATGCCACAAGTGACACCAGTTGTTTTTATGCTAACAGCAATATCACAAAGAGCACATTAGATGTGGGGTTGCTGCAAGCCAGGAAGCTGTGCGCTGCGTGGCTGGGCCTGCGATGGGCAGCTCCCTGGGGGCTGTTGTCGCTGGTGGGCAAGGACAGGGCTCAAGTAACTTTCAGGGACTGCTACCACTCCAAGATCTGCTGGAAGAGCAACACGATAGGGCACAAGCAATTCAAGAGATTTCTCTAGTGAATTAGGAGTGTTTGCTGATGTGGATGTGGGGTGGATTGATTATGGGAGATGCTGGAGAGGTAGGGACTGGATGGGTGGACTACAGGGTGGGTGCAAACCTTGCTTTCATTGAACTTGCTTTTTGGTATTTTAATGCCAGTTGTTAATAGGCACAGCACATCTGCTACAGAAAGAAATACATTCCTACAGAGTAGGCTGCGGTCAAACGATGTGTAAATTCTGACTGGCATGTATGCTTAGCAAGATGGGAAAGCACGCTCCCCAGAACACGGAAGAACGTAGAAGAATGATAATCTCGTCAGAGAACGCCAGACATTAATTCTGCAACAGGCAGAACACATCATCAAATATTCCCAGAACTTTGGAGTTTGGGCAAATGGTGAAATGCAAGAAAACTTGCTGAGGTAATGGTATTTTTTACAGTTATGTAATAGAAGCCACTAACATACCGCATTTCCCAAGTAAATTAGCAGTACCATATCGCTTTCTCTTACTTGATCTTAATTTAATCCACTTTAAATCATTACAGGACTCCAGATAGAGTGACGTACAAGACATAATGGGAATTTCTGCGCACTAATTGCGTTCATAAATAATCCTGAAAATGAGTTAAGACTGGTGTTAGCAGCTAGCAACTCAACAAATAGAAGAACATCAAAAAACTTATTTAGGAAAGAGACATTTTAATCCCTTCATTATCATACCAGATGCCTTAGCCTTCTCCCTGTCAAAGGCATATTTTGCACCATCTATAAAAAATTAACATATTTTCTTTCAGATTTTTCCCCCAACTGTTTTTGCAAATACTGGACTCTCAAAACACTGCAAACAGACCATCAAGCACTGACCACTAAATGAGCAAATCAGAGAGGAACTGCCTTAAGCAACACAAGCTTCAACAAATAAATTGTGGAATATGATCAAAACCAGTGGTTCTGAGAGTCAAACCACAACCTGAACGTGTGGGTGAAACGTCTCAAAGAGACAGAACTGCACACGGGGCAAAATGTTTCTCATTAGGGCATGTGCTGACGTGTACTTCCATCAGAAGTATTTCAGCTTTCTAAGTCAAAAAAAATTCAAGAAGAATCAGGAAGCAATTTTTAAGCTCTGGAAGGCCATATCCCCTTTCTGTAGCTTCAGCAATGATTTAAAAAATACATTTATGAAAGTAGACTATCTCTGAGTTACAACTATTACTTAAAAAACATTTAAAATGAGGGCAGGAGCAGGGGAGCAGGAGCAAAGCAGCCAGAGTGCTTCTGCCCCTGTGCTCCCTTCCCAGCAGCTGGCTGGCAAGGGCCCTTCAAACACACAGTGAGGTGGCACTTGGCAATAGCACAGACCCTGCCGCTGCTCTGCAAATCCTGGCAGCCTTGCTTTCCTTTCCTCAAGCTAAAAAATGATGTTGTGGATGAACAGAGAAAAAAAGATTGAGTCGTTTACTGCAATAACCATTTGCTGCCTAGCAAGCACCTGTGATTTTCAGCTGTGTATAGTGCAGGAACTGAAAGAGGTCCACATCAGAAACTGCCAGTTTCCCCTGCAACACCCAGCACCGCGTGGTAAACCTCAGTGCAGCCGCCACACGGTCCACAGGCAAAAGAACCACTCAGATGGCCAGAAAGGCATGGCCAAAGCAGCATGGTGGCCGCCTGAATGACCCATGAGGCTGGGCTGTGGAGGATGAGTCCAAGGTATGCCAGGCCCAGCTCCCACCCAGAGCCCACGCTGAGCTGGTACGGAGCCTGATGGGCCAAGCTTGCGCCCACACCGAGCAGCCTGAGCTCATACGCCTGCTAATGAGCCACGTGCAACAGCATCACCAGCCACTGCCTGTCTGCTGCTGCGCCCTGAGAGCTAAAATTGGCAGCATGTTTTTACATTATTATCAGAGAGAAGCACTACAACAGAAGGGAAAATGTGCTGTTAAAACTCATCCCAAATAAAATCTCCCTCAGCGCTGACCAGCCTGCAGCACTGGTTGGGACAGTGTGATGAGGAACGGGGAAGGGCAGCTCATCTCAGTGGGAACCCAAGGAAGAAGACATTGGTCTGTACGGCACAGATGGCTTTGTGCCCTGCACAGTGCTCTCGGCAACTATTGTTGTGTTGAGTTTATGCCTCGGGGCCTCAGTGTCCCAGAACAGCTTGCCATTGCTAGCAGTATCTTCATCAGGGAGAGGAGCATAAAGCATCCCTTCAGGCTATGTTTTGGGGCTTTCACATTGCCTGCATTACCCGCCTAGACATGACAAGAGCATCCTTTCCCTGACAGCATGTTCCAGAGCGGGTGGCAATAGGCAAACAGCCATGATCATGACAAGAATACACATGTACAATTCAGCACGGACAGATGAAGGTTTTAGCTCCTTAGCTGAGGCTGGCCCCTGCGCTGTCTGGGCACAGGAACAATCCCAACACCCTGAAGCTAGGAGAGGATATCATGGAGGGAGCCAGTGCCTCACTTCTCACAACCAATTCTACTACTACCATCTCTCTCTGAGGGTTCAACATCTCTAGCCAGATCATCTCCTTCCTTTCAAAAGCAAATACCAAGCCTTTCACCTCTATCCTCATATTTAGAACTTAATTTATTAATTTCAGATGAATATTACTCATAGAAGGGTGGCTTCTTCCCCATTCTCCATTCTGCCTACACAGACGGCTGGAGGCACTTGAAGGGCAAGGTGATGATGAGACACAGTAAGCTCCCTAATGTCTCACCTGGCCTCTGAATACCTATCACCCAGTCTCATCTTAAGATTAGGGGAAAAATAGATAAAGGCAAAGGAAAGTCACAGGAACCACTGAGCATTTTCCAAATGGAAATAAGAACTAACTTGAAAAAAGAACTGTCTCACGGGGTTGCAGAGAAGACTGAGCCAGGCCTTTCTCGGTGGTGCACAGCTGCAGCAGAGGAAATCCCAACCCGACACAAGAAGAAAAGGTCCATACTGAGGGTGGCCGAGCAGCTCACACAGCAGAATGCCCATCCCTGAATATATTTAAAACTCACCAGCGCAATGCTCTGAACAACCAGGTCAAACTTTGCAGCTGGCTGTGCTGTGAGCAGGTGGCTGCACTCTGTGACTTCCCAAGGTCCCTTCCAACTGCCCTTACTCTGGAATACTTCAAGAAGAACCACTGAAATGCAGTTGTGCATGTAAGGCAAAGGCAATAAATCACCATCCTGTCTCTGTGATAGTATTTCCCTGTCATTTCAGCATTTCCCCTCACCCCACCTGTGGCCAAATGCAAATGAACCACAAAGAAGTGGAGCCAAGACGGTAATGACTTATCAATATTCTGGAGAAGTCACGGTTGTATGAAACTATGAAACTCAAATAATTTCAAGTATAAAACCAGTATTTCCTTCCATTTTTGAATCAGACCTGGAAACAACAAAGAATTTTGCTCAGTTCAACATCATGTGAGTACCAGTCCCTCCAAGCTCTTTTCCATACTCCATTTCAGTTCTTTCAGACTGTTTCCACATTTACAGCAGTCCTTTTGCAGGACCTCTGTCATTATCTCTCCCCATCTCACTACCATTGACACAAGAACAGGAGATGCAGCTCTCTAGAGCAATCTAGGTAATGCCATCAGGGTATTTCGTTTGGTCAGCTGCAAATGACAGTTCAATTATTTTACAGAATAAAGTTTCACACAATTCAGATAAGGTCATTATCACAAAAAGCCCTGACCCGCTTCCTAAGTAGTTCAGCAGCTCCGGCGCCACTCTGACAGGGCTCCATGCTTCCCACTTGAGAGCTGGCTCTCATCTGCACAGATCACTGTGTCAGCAAAGGAGATTCCACACAGACCTACCTGCACTACTGCTACATGGAGTATCCAGAACATACATACATGTATATATGTATATATATAAATGCATGCATAGGCCTACCCTTTAGCTGCCTTAGAAGTCGAGAAAGATGGAAATTGTTCCTGAGAACCAGACATGACCACATTGGCATCATGTTGCGACACAGTATGTTTGTGAATCATCTTTCTTGCATTTTTTTTTAAAAAAGCACATTATGGCCATTTAAAAAGCCTAGCATAATTATGAAATGAAACATAGTAATTCCATTTATCAGGAGCTTTTCTCAATCAAGCTGCAACACACACTGCCAAAGCCTAATTGTTTATACAAGAGCCAAAATCGATATGACACATTCCCACTAAACTACCACACACAGTGTAGTAATTCATGCAGAGTGTAGTTATGTGACTGTTTGCGACTTTGATTTCAGAAACCACAAAGTCTACAAATACACTGGGTACAGAGCCCAGGCTCTGAGGGGAGGAAAAATGAAAGGCCTGAGTCCTAGTCCATTACTGTGTGTCAGTTTTAACCCGTTGCAGACAGCAAAAGACACCTCCCAAGGAAGGAAGAGAATCTTTGAGGACCACTTCTTTAACCTCTTTTTCCCACTTATCCCTGCATTTCTGCACATTGTAAGCAGGCAGCGAACCATGTTACACATGGAATGGTTAGTGGTGTAAACGTGGTTAAGGCAGATTTCTTTTAATTCTTACAATGGTTGATAAATTTTCTTATTTTATACCAAACTTCAAGCATGGGAGTCATATTACACTGGCAACTTTATTCCCAGAGTTAAGATACACCTAACTGCCTGCCAACATGTCTAATTACTGTCCAAAATGTAAGTGTAAATTCAACATAAACACTAGTTCCACTATGCACCATAACATGGAATGGAAAAGGAATTCACAGGAATAGTTAAACAGACTACAAGTGTTAATGCAATTATTTCTTTTGAAGAGCAGGTGCAGAGTTGGGGCCAAATCTCAAGAGATCAGGAAAATCTAGAACCACTGACCCACTGGAGCTCAGACAACAAAAAATATTCTGTTTCCTGGGCACTGCACACACATTGGTACCTCTCCCCATACCCTCTGTGATCATAGGAGGTGGTTGGCTGTTTTGATCAACCACTCCTCGCTAGGGGGAAGGCAGTAATGGAGGAAAAATAGGACTAAACTGAGATTAGATCTCTTCTCTAGAAATATCAGCCTTGTCAAGATAAGCCTTCTAAACATATGTAGTGACTGTGTTACTTGATTTTAAAATCAGCGGCTTTTTTCACCCACATTAGGAATGAAAAGAGAACTCTTACAGGAGACCCCGCATGCACACCTCTGTTCAACACAGAGATGAGGATCCCTGTCACTGTGCTGCAACAAGTAATAAAGTCTAAATGTTGACGCACAAAGGCAAGACTGTCTCACAGAGCTCGCTGCTACTTCACAAGTGATGTACCCTGCATGAAGCCAGTCTATGTAATATGCTTTAATCTCTTGCAAGCATCTAAGCTGTGAAAGAGACAATTACCTAATAAATTGAGAAGGTTGAACCAGAAGATGCTTCTGCTTCAGAAGTTCAGCAACACTCTCTCCTTTAGATTTCTCTGTAGCTGTCACCACATTGCAACCTTAAAAAATTCCATCTTCTCTCTCAACATCATAAAACTATTTTTTTTTTAAACTCACTGATAAAATTTGCTTCTATGGTTTCCCTTGGTAACTTATTCCATATGTTCCCCTTTGACCATGAGGCATATCTTTTGGAATTCTCCGTTACGGCTTTTAACTTCCAATCTTTGCCAGGTTTAGATAATATCTTCCTCTCTGAGGGGACTTTCTCATTTCACTTTAACAGGTTCTTTCAAATTTGCAAGCTGTGCTTTTCCTGGGTCATGCACACTCAATACCCAGCAAGGGCACAGCACGAGTGAGAAGGACAGCACCAGTCTCTTTTGTCCACTTTGTTCCAACTTTTAGACCACTCCTCCAGCTATTTTCTATTTCCTCCACAGGTTCTGTGACTTTGTATAACCAAGGCAGACTGAGAGGAAGCAGGGAGGAAAAAGATGCTGTTGGGAGTACCACTAAATGTGGTATCTGGCTTTACTATTCAAAGCAGATTGAATTTGCTGCTTTGCATGTATAAAACGGTACAACACATCTCTTGCTTCCATGCAACATCTGCTGTATGAATCACGAGTAGGATAAACACTGCTTCAAGCAGCCAGCTGAGAGAACTAACACGTCCTGCTGGCCTGGTGAAGGTGGTTTTCAAATGAAGGCAGAGTGGAGATGGAACTGGCTTATTAAAATGCCAAAGAAGAATAGCCTTACCGCACATTTCACATCATTTCCCACATCACCATCTAGCCTGTCATTCTCACCTTTGTTTGCACAACAGGCATATTTAGAGGCTAGAAACTTGTGCCAGCAATTTCCCAACGGCCCACAGCTTCCAAAAGTACAAAGGCTGTGGTCCCTGCGGAGGAGTGGAAAGTGCTTAGGTGAATACCTCTGGTTTTCTACAGACGGGGGACAAATCATTCAGTTAAGACCGCAGCTGCAAGGACCTACTTCAGCAGCAGAGTACTAGGGAGCACTGGGCATAAGATGTAGCAGTTCATGTCTGCAATGCCATTCTCTGCATGGAAGCCATAAACTCAGTTGATGTTCCCAAAACCCCTTCCTGGGGATTTGTTCCTAAGGTTTGAGTTAAGCAAGACATTTCCGTATGTGAAGAGCCCCACTAGCTTCTTTTGAAATGACATGCATGCTTCTAGTACCTAACTCTCTATCAGTAGTTTAAGATCAGCCTTGGCCTGTAGAGAGTGGAGGTAATCAACCCATACAGTTGTTTTGAGATGGGCTTAAACAAAACCCTTGTTCCAGATAGTCCTGAACTGCAGGATTTGAGTCTAGGAACCGTATTTTCCAGTTTTGCATTTCTTTTCACTGCCCAGTGTTTGGATTGCTAAAAGATCTAGTGCTGTACCTTACTAACCATGTTCCAGAACATTCCACGTCAACTTCAACGTCCACCTACAGCAGTCCCATATGAAACACAACCAAGCCCAGGCAAGCACTTCCATTTTAGTTACAGAAGTACTCATGAAAGAGTTTGGGTTTTTTCCAAGTCATGTGTTTTGGTGGGGAGAAGAATGATGACCAGAGGTGTGAGGGAGGATAGACAGTTTCCTATTTTCTTCTTTCAAACATTCAACATTCGGGGAGCTGTGAGACATGTTACAATGCTTTATGGAAGGAATGCTGGTCATTTAGATTACTTTACTACATTATTACTACATTATAAAACATTATTCATGCCCTCAAGCTGCATTCACTGAGCTCTCTCTTCCTTTTGAATGATTCATCCACTATAGTATTACTGCTAAAATGGATGTTCAGTATTTACAGATGTGAAATACCTCAATTTGTTTAAATTATATCACCAAAATCTTTCCCACACACTTTCCCACCTCTCCCTCCAGATCACAGGATAAGGGAAGAATTTGCTTACTGGAGAAAAAGCAGTTACTGAGCTGCAAAATTCATTCTCTCTCTCACTCACACACACACACACAACCACAAAACAGCAATTTTTGTTTATGGCTAAGAGGAAAAAACACCCCTTGGTGCATACCTGTTGGTGTTATACTCTAAACCCCCAACTTCCTTGCTTGCCTGCAAAAGATCAAGAATTCCTG